CGCCCTTCCACGGGAGTGCGGTGCAGTGCACTTAATGATGTATGCACATGTATTTATTATTATTTATAGGACAGCCATAAAATGTAAAGGTAATGCCCTGATTGTTTTTGTTATTGCTTTTATAATATGAATAATAATAATAATAATAATAATAATAATAATAATAATAATAATAATAATAATAATAATATGCTTTTATTGATGGCGATGCTCCGGCCATCACGCCTGCTCCTGCCACCAAACGCATGTCACAAACACATAGATTAATCTAAAAAGATTAAATGTAATATAATCTAAAAGTGGTAAGTAATTAATGAATAGCAAACGTTATTTGAAGCAACCTATAAATATATAATATCATAGGTTAAATGGATACAATGTTACAATAATATGTTTGAAATAATTTTTAAAATTCAAGACTCAGATTGAAAACACAATTTGAATTAAATAAGGTATTATGTTCTTTACATATCTGCGCGCTACGCGGCAGCCTGGTATTCACCCCGAGCGGCTGTGATCTATTAACACAGAAGACACCACCCGCCGCTCGATGCTGGAGGAAAACCCGGTAGTCGGGAAAAACCCACCAGGCAGACTGCGTCCTAATACAATGGAAACTAAGCTAACATGAAGTAACGGGTCTTTGGGATGGTATCCTCAGCTGCGGTCCATGCTACAAACGGTCATTTTCTTTTCGCTCTTATTGTTATTATTAATATTATTAAATCAATTATTTTAAAATAATTTTTTACATGGTGTAGCATTAATATTCTTAATTGTGATTTTAAATTGTAGTGTTCTGCCATCAGGTTGCACAAACATACTTGCAGAAATAATGAAAATCTATCTAATTATCTGTGTTCATTCCCCTAGACATGTCATGAGATATCAATTTCAATGAAAGTATTAATTTCAATGAGCATGTCAAACTTCAAAAGGAATTTCCGTAGGCATTCCCGTTTTTTAGACACATCCATTTCCCTGTGCAATATGTATTCCACATATCTTTCTATTCTCCATTGTATTTACGTTTATTGTGGTGTACCCACTTTGGCGTTTTAGTTATTTATGTTTATTTACTCCTTCTCCTCTTTAATTATCTATACTTAAACAGATGTTTCTTCCTATCAAACACCTTTTACGACGTCACGCCTAAGACTTGATGAGGGGGGAGGGAAGAGGTCAAAACGGGACACTCAGATAATTTTGCTTGGACCCTGTGAACCACGCACCATATGGGAAACGTGAGTGCCTTCGAGAAAGATGTCTGTAGCAACTATTTTTCAATAATAAAATCACTCAAAAATAAAAAAAACGAACGGCGAACATTTACGAGCATTTCCTTTCATTAGTTCAGGGAAATTTCAGTATGAATCTTTTGTACAAATAGAAATAGGTTTTCCTTGAATATATATATATATATATATATATATATATATATATATATATATATATATATATATATATATATATAACTGTGAAAAGGTCTTCTTTCTTGTGGTGAGGCAATACAACACAAAAGAGTGATTTTTACAGCTATTTACAAACGAATTAAATTGTTTAGTGAGTTTTACGTCGCAAGGCCCTCTTATCTTTAAAATCTTTATGGAAACAGACAAATATCTTTAAAGAAAAATAAATTTATAAACAGTATACTCTCCTTTTCATAAAGATGTATTTCCACTACACCCGAATTGAGAGAATTTCGATGAAATGTACTTTGGGCGGTGGTAGAGGTCATCTGGCAAGAGAATGGGGAGACTTAAATGCTAGACAGAGAATAGTTCGAGAAAGTCTAACCCATTCTGTAAATCTAATAGTTTCTATCTTGTTTCATTAAATGGATACAAGAGTGATATTTTTAATCTACTCCGAAATCCTAATTAAAAAGCATATCAAGATACTTATTTAATAAAATAAATATTTTGTCAAAGAATTAGAAAACGTGTTCACCTATTATTTTGTTCAAGATGCTTTCTAATCTCCAGTGTTAAATTCCTTTTACGAGGAAAGTATTTCCGCTTTCTTTGAATGTCACAAAATCATCGTCTGGATCGTGACAATACCATCAAACAAAGGTCACGCGCATTTACTATTTATAAATCATTCTGTTTACACATCCGCAGCCGTGTTGTTGTTTTATTCTGTCCTCGAACCACCTTTTTCACTCCTCGATCGTCTTTTCTTGTTGCGCCGTTTGTTTCCTTTCCGCGCTTCCGCGTATCGATTCTTACTTTGTTGGTTTCTCCTTGATGAACGATGTTCGTTCTTTAGACACGCAGAGATCCCCAGGACTATAGTTCTTTTCACGCTAATCGCGTCGTGTTTGCGAAAGACTAACGAAAGTCCTATACAATTCATTGTAAAAATTCTCGTATATTGTGTATTGTATATTTAAGAAACTGACATGATGAAAAATTTGTTGTCAGTATAGAAATTAAAAATTTGTTGCCGTTATCATTTTAAAGTTATTCCTATGTAAATGTATGGTGATGTGTGCGTGTCGTGCGCATGTTTGAATTCCACTGTTCTTTGGTAATAGACTACGCGTATACTGGTGAAAATACTATATAAATTGTGATATCGAATTGCACATCGCTTAATCTTATTTTTTGTTTTCTGAAGTCAGGGCTACCTTTTCGGTTGTAGCCTACCCTCTTCCCTGCAACCATCTATCGGCGCCTAAAAGAACAACTCAGTGCCTGTTGCGGTACCTGCCTCTCTCCATGCTTGCTTCATACATTTTATAATGTCCTGGTCGAGTGGCTGAAGATTACTTATACAGATGGGTGAAACAACCAATTTTAATGTTCCTCAGATACCATGTATCCTAGGGATGTTTTGATCATTGAAGAGAAGAATATTTCTGTTTCTTGCGCCTAATCTTACGTCCCAGGCCCGCAAAATAGTTCTAACATATGTGATATCATCTACGCGTTTTCATTCAAATTGTACTGGCATGGAAAAGTACACACATTCTTAAAACATCGAGGGTTTTTTGCCCTTTCGATATTGGAAAGGCACCCATTTTTCTGTCTCATTCATCGCAGCAAAGCAAACCAGTTAGCCTCTCTTTTCTTTATTTCCCCCATGGCACTTTTCTCTCTTAAACTCGAAAGTGTTGTCCGGGAGAAGGTGATAAAACAATCCCGTTTCGTCCGCATTGAAACATCCCACAATGGAGCTACATTGTTCTGGAATACTGAGAAACGTTGTATCTTTCCAAGCTTCAGCTACTGTAATAAAGGAACATTATAAACGAGTTGCATACTATATTTTTTTGTATAACAGCATTATACATTTATAAGAGAATCAAACTTAATTTTGCGAAACAACTTCCCTGTGACGACTCGGGCATTTGACATCGTGCGAGTAAACGGTGGTCGGCTGTTCCATATAGCTCGCTGTTTCCCTCCGATTCTCTCGCTACGATTGGTTGAATGGGTGATGACGCAATCATTCGTGACATAAAATCGAATACGTCATCATTTGTGCCGTAAAATGCCCGATTATGAACGATTTCTTCCAACAGAAAAAGTTATTTTCTAATGCTGGAACACAAAAAACATTATTTGATTGATTTTGATTTTTGGCGTCCAGTATTTAAGGGGATATTTTGATTCTAACAGTCCACCACACAAGGTCTCAGGGTGCTCTGCCTGGTAACGCGCGCTCGGAACGTTACAACATCCGGTAAACACGATATATGAATAAGTGACCTACATATTCGACGGCCTAAAATTCGAGACAACAATTTTTATCTGATTGCAATATTTATATTGGAAAACTGATTAAAAAATATAGTGGTGTGTTCAATACATTTAATGTGTCTTTTTAGAAAGCTAGCTACAGAATATGACATCAGCCAATATAATAAACTACTTTCACTAGAGCGCAGCACTTGTGTGTTATAAGGCTATATTATTTTTAATTTTCCATATAAAAATCTCCTTAAATACTATTCTAGATCAAAAACATATTTTAATTAGATGATAAATAATGTGCAATGAAATAATAGTCTGTAATATGATAGAGCGGTTTCCTGAGATTAATAATGTACTGAGTATTAAATCTTGTCCACGTATAATATTGATTAACAAAGGTATTTAAATTAACTTGACCCCTTTTGTTAAACAAACACTTAACATTAATCACCGATCTACCCAGCATTGAAAGGGAAATTTTGATAATTTTTGAAGTGCTGGTATATCAAACCTTATGCAGACAAGGGTTTGATATGTCCAGCATGTAATTAACTTGAACATAGATATTTTATCAGGGTGCATGTACAAGGCTTCAAAATTGTGGGTGCCGTGTTGATGTGAGTTGACATCTTCTTGGGTCCGTTTCTGATGCTTAAATTTTGAATAGTGGCATTATATTTTCGCAAGCATTATACATAACCAGCATAGTTGATAATAAACCGAGGCATGGAAGTGACTCACTTAAGACTATACAATGTGAAACTGACAAAACCTGTTTGCCCGACAAAAGAAATACAATATCTTACTCAGTACAGAAACAAAATAGATGAGAACGTGGGCAATACCCGAGCACGAAAAATGTAGATGCCAACAATTCGGTCACATCAAAATCCACTGTGAGACCTCGGACCTGTGGACGCTGCTCTAGGCCACATGACATGGCCATGAATGCGCTGTTACCTTTACCTTTTAGTGGTTGACAGATACTAACGTTACATTCAAATAGCGCGGGCAGTGCCCTCTGCAAGAGGTTGGAAACCCGTGATTATATATATTCCGAGATATTTGAATTGTAGTGTCCGTGCCGACCGACGCGGTAGGAAACAATGAGAAGAGAAGGCTTTGAGACGCGAGAGAGGAAGGCCGAAAAGTGTGCTTTTGGGGAGTGGTGGTGAGCGTGGTGAGAACGAAGAAGAGAAATGGACACTGAAGCGGCTGCACCTAGGTTTACGGGCGTCCATTTCTTACACTATATTGCCGTGTAAGAACCCGGATCTGCGCGGAGACGAATATTCGACGACACCAGCCCGCTGACCGTCGAAAGCTTGGCGCCGTTGGGCGAGGCAAGGCCCCGAGAAGAGGTCGGTAATAATCGTCTTTCCTATTTTTCTCCTAGTATTTCGCCACGAAATTGCCATGAGAAGCATCAAGTTGCTAAGACGTAGGAGGCTCTTGACAGCATTTCCGTAGTGTCCCAAGCCACCCCTTTAATGCGTACGTTTAGTGGTTGCATGTCATGACAACCTCCAGTGTAAATAGCGGTCATTAGACCCTGCATAAGTAAAAAGTGAATGCACAGAGGAACAAGCCACCATTTAAGTGAATGTAATGAGTGCTCAGAAAGTGCATGTAACTATAAACTTTACAAACGGTGGTTGACGCTTCGTTTATATTGTCGTCGAAATGTTAAACATTGTATAATATTATTTGAAATTGTTAATTTATCATTTGTTTTTCAAGAGAAAAGAGACGCTTTATGCTAGATTGATTTTGTTATTGTACAATGGGTAATTTTTGTTTTATTTATTTAAGAATAAATGTATTTGGGTTTGGACATTTTTTTGAAACATAATTCCTTTTATAAGACGAAAAAGATCGTAATTTTTTTAGCTGTTGATTATGAACATATCTCATGAGTTGTGAACTTGAAACATTTACAAGTAGAGTAAATAAACTTAGAATTTGGTTTCAACGCGAAGACAATAACTGAGATAAGTTTTCGTAACATCTGCAAGGTGTTTTGATTGACGTTTTTGAGCTTTTTCGTAAATTTCATCGTCCGAAAGAGCTATGAAAACTTGCCGCTATCACTTTTATATTGTTACTGTATTTTTCAGTTTAACAAATCGTTGCTCCAGCTGGTTAATGGAAAAATCTCTGAATCCACAGTAAATATAAAGGTTTAAGAGTATTTTTTATATTTATTAGTGTGTCTTGGGACCTAGAAAAGTTCGCCAAAATGTCATTTAGTTTCACATTTATCGTTAAATTTTACTTCTTCTTTCCAGACTGGAAAATTATATTGCATTTTTCAAATCTCTATAGTGATTCCGAACTGTCTTCAATTCTTCGTAAGCTCCTTGGAGAAAATTTTGTGCCGTTTGCAAATACAATTCAGGATTGTGAAGATTTATCATACCAATATTGGTTGATGTTAATATTTTTGGATGCCGGCTGGAGCTACCTCTCATTTGTCTGTCTGTCTGTTCCTGTGTGATTTCACACGTGTGGTGGAAGAGTGATTGAAAGACTTGAAAAGAAGATAAAATGGAGAATGAAAAACTGCACTTTCCGTGTTCCTTTTGTTAAAATACTATTCCAGCATTCTTTTGATATTTACTACGGTTAACTATCAATCAGATCAATGGCCTAAATAATTGCACTAATCAGAGCAATTGCCTATAGAAAACTACCAATTAGAGCAGTGGTTGATATCGAGACAGCTGTGTAGCTCGTGTCGAAAATCTGCCATCGCTACCGCGACTCAAACCTTACAGTATTTATTTATTTGTTTACGCCAAAAACAGCTAAACACTGTATGTGACGTGCTATAGGGTGCAGTTAATTTGAAGTTACATTTATGCTCAGAAGCAAAAAAAGGGGGCCATCTCAGCAGTTGCTCGAGGATCAGGGAAACTGGACGAAAACCGGATCGAGATGGAGGTCATTGACCCAGGAGCTGATGTACAATACTTGGTACAGGTTCTTTACAATTATACAATCCAAATGATGTATAATTCATTAAATGTCATTGTTAAAATAAATATTACTTTCCTTTTGGATGCTCGGTATAGTATAATTGTATAGAAAGTATTGTACAGTATTGGAAGCGTATAAGCGATTCCGACAGTTCAATGCGCTGTTGCCACACATTACTACGCACATGGCACCACCTTCATCACAAATAAATGAAATATCACAACATTGACTCTTACTGGCCGCCTATGACATCATGTTCATTACTTTCGCCAAAGCCGAACCTCTTCGCCTCAGTGACTTCGCGTGAGTCAGATGTGCGGCAACACTGAACTTGGTTGTGACGGAGTAAACTAATCCTCGCAAGCTGATTGCTTCGGAGCAGGTCACGTGGCAAGGGAACTGTCAGTCGCTTAAACGCTGCCGGCCTGTAGGGCCTCCCGTTGGTCGAAGACTTCTCCCCAAAGCACATCACACACAGTTTTTAACTGTTTTGACGTAAATAAAATAAATAAAATAAAGAGGTAGAGGCAATGGTGTTGCTGAGTCATTGCAACCGTTCGATCCTTCGTTATTGTATGCTTTTGTAGATGTCTTATTTATTCTTAAATACATTCGTGTATTGTACAGTGTGACTCACATAACTCTAGTATCTCCTATAACTTTTGAACGGTTGAAGTTATTACACTGCAGTTTTCACTGAAATGAATGAGGGAATTGGGCTAATTGATACGTGTATTCATATCTATTTCATCCCTTGTATATTACTAGATATTTGGGGTAACTTGTTTTTCAGATGGAACTATTCTTTCTTTCAGGCTATCATGACGAGAGTAAAAAGAGAAATCCAATGATATACATATTGTTATATGTTGAGTAATGAGTAATTGGGATTTTTTGCGACTAACTTTTGTGTTTAACGGATATTTTGAGTGTAAGAGTCCGCCCCGGTGGCGTTGAAGGAGGAGTTGGATCTCGCCGCCGCGAGCGACCCTCGTTGACGGCCCCCTGGTTGCTCAAATGTGCACCTCCGCGGGGGGGGGGGCGGTCTCATTGCGGCCTCGCGAAGCCCACGCGTTTTCCACCCCTCCCCTTTTCAGTTACTTCTCGCGTCCGAGAATTTGCTCTACCGGCTATTGCAGTGTTAAGCGCGCTCCACAGTTCCTTTCGGGTACATGTGTTCGTTACTAGTGCGTGAGGCTGAATAAATCTACACATCGCCCGGTTACAAGAAGGCCTAACAGTAGCTACAGCCGTTGCACTACCTTTACCATGCGTAGTTTATCAATCTGAATGCCGGCCTCGTTCCTTGCGCTTTTCCGATTTTCGATGCACGTTTCGATACCCGTAAAATACTGATCCACTTCAGGTGACACGCGAGGTTTCACGCCACGGATGCCTTACATTACTCTCACGGTTCGACCGCCCCACCTCCTACGCTGTAGAGCCGCAATCTGTTCTGTCCACGTGTCTTCCTCGCATTTACTCGTCTCGCAATCGCCGATATTCATCACACAACGCGTCTAAGCGGAAGAGAACCGCGTCGACCACTGCCGCTGAGTATTTATGCGTCATCGCTGTTCACAGCCTAAACGAGTGCCCTGAACGGTTATGGAATCGAACACTGGACCTTTTACCACTCAGTATTTACTTGGCTGTCCGGGTGACGCCGCGTCCATGGCAAAGATACCGACGTTTCGGTCGCCATTCTGCGACATTCCTCAGGGCGTAATGCGGCGTCACTCGGACAGCCAATTAAATACTGATTCCGGCCGCTGAAGCATACGCTCTCTCTCTTTTACTACTCTCGAAGTTCGGCGAAAGGGCTTCGGTCAGTCTTCTAGGGAACTCTCTCAATGACTGACATCACTCCTTCCCTCGCGGGGGCTAGATTTAAATGAAGCCACGACGTATTCCGCGGCCGTTTGGCCACTGAAATATTGGCGAACATCACTATATATATAATGCAATCCGGAGTCTGGTTAGGAAAGAAGTTTCTATCGATTGCAGCAAGGCTTATTACTTGCCAGGGTATAGTCACCTCTTTCTCGTGCGTGATTCCATGAAGGGATTCCCGAGTAGCCTTTCCCGCAGACGACGAGAGAGAATAAGCGGCATTTCTTGGGTTTCTGCTTCGGTTCTTTTCCGGGGATTTCCTCTGTGCTTTTATGAAATCTGCCCCCTCTCTGCTGGGGCACCGGTGCGTCCGTTCCGCTTTGAATCGTGTACAAGTGTACATGTGAGGGCATGTAGAGGTGTTCAAAACAATAACGTTTTGCAAATGAACATGTAGTTGGAATTTGTATGCAGAGAAGTGAATATAACATGTGCCCCTGTGCAGAGACGTTCGGAAGAATCATGAAAACACCTACGTCACGTGACCTGCCTGACGTCTCTGCTCAAGGAGTTGTGTACAATGAGGGGCAAAGGCCGCTTCCATAAATGCGTGTAACGCGTTTCCGCGTGCATGAGCCGAGCGCTCACCGCCGTGCAGGGGGCGTCCTCGTGGGCGGTGGCGGCGGCGCGCACGGCGGGGTGGCTGGCGGCCGCCAGCATCTCGCACAGCGACGCGCCTTGCGCCCCGGGCTGCGGGTGCTGCAGGTGGAACTCCTCGATGGACGAGAAGAGCTGCGGCACCCACAGGCGCAGCGTGTTCATGCTGCGCAGCCATGGCGTTCCGGCGCATTAAAAGAAATGTTCTATCTGCGCTGGCAGTATTAATTAGTATTTACATTTTTTCTTTATATAATAATAGTAATGATAATTAATGATAATAACAATAATACTTAATAATAATAATAATAATAATAATAATAATAATAATAATAATAATAATAATAATAGTGAATTCGACGACATGAATTCTCCATGGATTCCACAAAAATGAGTGTACAAGTAGATACCAAATATTTACAGTGTCGTTTTCAGGATTTGACGCAGTGTCCTTACAAAGTTTGCTAAAGATGAGTACAACACAAAGGCAGAAAATAAATAACTTAAATAATATACTGGTAGACAGATCCGGACGGACGGAGACGTACTCCATTCTATGTAAGTGTGAGATAAATTGTAAAAAAAAGGTAACTGGTTCTCGTAAGATTTAATTTTGAATGTGCTGGTTAACAATTATTGATAGGAAAGCAGTTGAATAACTTTTATTTCCAGACATGTTTGACGTGTGTACAGAGTGAACACTTATGTCTGTCTTGTCTTGACTCTGAAACCGATGTTTCCCCAACTGCGATCAATAAGCTGTTGGCTGCCTCTTCAACATCGTCTTCAGGAGTTAAGCACTGCGTGTCACCGTACATTGGGTACTGAGGTGTTGAGTACAATTTCTTCGTAATGTTTGTTTGCTACGTCGACTTAGTGCAACAGAGGAACA